TCTCAATAAAATTATGGAGAAAAAAAAGATTTGTACTAATAGTATTTGGACAGGATATCATGTCTGCATCTTGTACTACGAATAACCACTATTAAGACAACAATATGCAATGTGTTAATTATTGAAACTGTTCTACTAATCTTTTTGAAACTGTCTGATTGCTATTTGTTTCTCAATAAAATTAATCAAAATTAAAAAATAAAAAAAAATTTAAAAAACTGTCTTGTCCAACACTGTATATCTAGTAAATACCACTCCCAAATAGAATCAAAAATATACTCAAACATATAATTTTAAATGTTCAAGTGGCCTCATTAATAAGGTTAAACTTATGATACTAATAATAAGTTTAACCTCAACAATCCTTCCCTAAGGTGTTATCACTATTGTTAAAAATGAGGTATTTTATATTTTTTCACACTATTTCTTCATGACAGTGTGTAACTTGCCTTGACAGCACATGTAAGTTCTCAGAAACATTTGTCGCCAATGTCCACCACAGGGGACAATGCTGATAGAGAATAGTACTTGGCATCCAATATCTAGTATATATTTGTTTTAAAAATATTCTTCTGTGCTACCTCGTGCTTCTACAGTGTAGGAAAAACATGGTAATAATGTCCCACCATTGATATTACTTGTCTTAGACATTTTCTCTTGTTGATCATTGTTTCCAAATTTTCTTTGTAGAATAACTCTATAGAATACATCTGGTTCATGCCTATTTTTCCCTAAAATTCCCAGAAAATATGACACCTCTTTAAAGTTTACCATGTTTGGCTAAGTTGCCAAAAATAAGACGTGCCACCTAAACTTTTAGTAGTTTGTGTTTGGTTATTAAGGGTTGGCCTGCAACATTAACAGGACAGATACTGCTAATGATTATAGTAAGATATTAATAGGTACTATTTCTGTCCACTACAACCTACCATGCTTAGGTTTTAAATATCTCAGGGATGTAAAACACCAGGCTGAGAGGTTAAACAAATTAAACACAAATTACGCTCAAACTCAGAACCGGATCAATCTGTTTTCAATGTATGGGCGTTCTGTACTCTTTCGTTTGGGGTAACAAGACAAAGTAGAAGGGAAGAAATCGACTAAAAAAGACAACGGAACAATTGAGAGCAAAGTAAAAAGTTAAAATCAAAAGCGATCCCCGCCTTCCGGTCCTGCCACACGCACAGGTGCAGATTCCACTGCCTTGGGTCCAGCTGCTGTTCTCGCCCCAGAGCCTAGCCGGGTCAGCAGTCACTTCCTGGGACTGGGTCATCCTCCGCCCCACGCTCCGCCCCGCGGAGCAATTCCCAGCCCCTGCCCCTCCTCCAGGGTTGCGGAACCCTCGGTGCGGACGTGACGTCCACGGCGTGGGCAGGACTTCCGGCGCTCTGCGGTCACGTGGACGCATACCGGAAGCGCGCTTCTACTTACCGGCTCGATAGCATTCCCCCCACCTTCTCCGTTTTTCTTGTCTCCCTATGGAAAACGTGGCCCCTGCTCGCCCTCCGTCCAAGATCAGCAAGCGGCGTGCCCACGAGGTGACTTTGGGGACGGATGGGTTTCTTTTCAGGAGTAAGGAAGGAGCCAGCAGCCTGAGGTCTGGATTCTTAAGAGGCCGGGAGAGCAGACGCCTTAGTAGTGGTCACGTTGTCGTAATTAATCACCGTCAACCCGCGGAGAAAAGTGGGGCCTGAGGCCCCAGAGATTCCAAGTATTTGAAGGTTGTTGGTGACTGTAGTCCTAAAGGCTCTCAACTCTGTTGTGCTTCTGAATCACTGCATGGTCATTAAGAATTCCGATGCCCGGGCCCTTATCCCAGACCAATTAAGTCCGAATTTCTAGACAGTATAAAGAGTTTTTTTTTAAGTTCCCCCACGTGATTCTAATGTGCGGAGAATCACCGTAGTAAGCTAGCTCTGTAAGTGAATTCGGATTTTGCCCATTCTGCCCAGTATTTACATGGGAAATCATCCAGGACCCATCCTTAGAAGGATGTTTAGGATATTGGATAGTCTGCTAAGATGTAGGCTTTTTTTCCCCCTTGCATTTTGACCTCCATGGAAGGTCAGTTTTTAAAACAAAAATTATTTTGAAGAGTAAAAACAGAAACAAAGACAAAAATAGGGTAACATACAACAATACATATGTTACTGATTTTCAAAACAAGAATAGCTAATTAACAATGGTTCTATTATCTATTTTTATGGTCAAATCTGTTGCTCAAATTAGCAGATATAGTTATCCAAGATTGGACAAATATTAACGCCTGCTTTCAATAAACCTTAAATTTTTTCTTGTCTTTTTCTACTTTTTTAAAAATTTAGTTTTTAGAGGAAGTTTTCTTGATAACGTTTAAGGGCTGCAATTTTTGATAGCCCTCACATATTAAAGGTGGAGAATGCCTTTGCCCAGTTGTCTTATGAACCAGTGGCCAGTGGAGTACCTCTTTTATCTGAAAACCCAGTTCTCTTATTATACATAAGGTGGTCTGGAACAATTTTATTTTTTCAGAAATGATTGTTAAATTTTTTTCACAGGCTAAGCTCAGTATTCAAGTGTTTTTCACGTTAGATAGGAATGTTTGGAAAACATCTAAAGATTAATACAAAACATTTACAGTTATTTACTCACACAACTCTCATGACTTATGGAATTAGAGATATCCTTTGAAGATAGCTTTTACTAGTGTGATTTACCAGATTAGCAGTCCCTTTGGCATAGCAGTATAAACAGAAACTGTATTTCAGAAGATTGTTAATACTGTCAGATAAGCTTAACCGATGGCAAGTTAACAGAAAGATACATAAATCCTTACCTCTTTATGTTCACTGCCTTTCTGGGAAGGTATGCAAACTAAAGTCCTAGAGAGAAATTTTCATTCTAAAACTATTTGTACAGTGAAAGATTCTTTTTTGTTTGTTAGGATCCAACATTTAGGATTGGCTGAGATGACTTTGGAGGAAAATTGAACAACTAAAGCTAAAATGTAGGTTGGAGTTTACAGACTGGGTACAGAAATCTTAAAACTACTTCTGAACAATAGTAATCCGTAAAATAGTTGGAGAAGTGAGTAGACAATGAAACTGTACTTAGTTAAAGGGCAAATGAGTTGAAAGTATCTTGGTAACATGCTAATATATGTAAACATTTGCTTTCTGAAAAGACCTTGGGTGTTAAAGAGTAGAAATGGGAGGCGGGAATGTTATTAAGATACAGCGTATAATCTTAGTAACAACTTCAGCAGGATCTAAGAACAGGAAAAATTAGCTTTTTCTTTTCCTGGGAGGCATATGGGAAGTTTAAAGTAATAAAATATAGACTCTTTGCCTATAGGTAATTAAATGCCCAAATATGTGAGGTGTGGTGAATGCTGTATCAATTAAGAAAAGAGACATTAATGTGGAATTGCCATGATTATGTTTACAGAAGGAAGACTTGAAATAAAACTCTTGAAGAGTAAAAGTGGCCTTAGCCATTTTAGTCAAGGTTTTTGCTAAGGGTGCTGTTAATATGTAGTGCTGCCTGCTTCTTAGAGCCTTTTTGCCTGCAGTCATACTAAGTCTTGCTGTGTTTTGAAAGCTGTGTGAGCAGTGAAACAAACTCACCTGTTTTTTCTTTTGCACTGTGTCATCATTCTGTTGTTTAGTCATCCTGATTTTCAGATCTCCCATTGCCTCTTGTACTCATGACTTAGAGGGTAATTTTGCTTTTCCATGGCCTCCTATTCACTTTTGGCTGGATACTAGTCACAGGACTCAGTGAACTTGCAGATAAATCCATTCATAAGTCTGTCACCCTTTCTGACAAGTTAAACAATGCCCTGCTGTGGGGGGAATGTTATTCGTATTGGAAAACAGAAGAATTGCTAACTGCATCCTTTGGCTCTTCTTCCCTATGTTGTACTTTCTTTGTGGTCGTACTTACTGCAACATCCAGAAGAGGGTAAATTGGGGCTGCGAGGTGAAGAGAATGAAAAGTCAGACTCAGTGTTTGCCTTCCTCACCGCTCAGGTTTACCAGTGGGTGTTATGACAAAGGAGGTGAAGGCTTCCTGGTCACGGTAGCAGGCCTGTGTCCAGCAGAATGATAGGGCTTGCACTTCTGTGGGTAGAAGAAGGCCCTTCAGACTTGTGTCATCTTAGATGTCCAAATTACTAAGCAGGGATCATGCAGAGCCACAGGAGGGAGCTCACGAGGGCATCAAGCCCCAAGAACTTGAAAGCCTCAGCAGCCAGCTAGGGCCGGGGACAAGGCTGCCATAGGAGATGGAACAGAAAGCAGTGCTCTCCCAAATCCCCCTTTTGTTATTTATAGAGTGAATTGATGTTCCTACCAATCTGTATTTTAAAATTTTTTATTAGTACATGTCAGTAGTATATAATGGTTATATTTGTCATAGGGAGTTAGTCCTTGGACACAGCATTTCTTAATTCTTTTCTCATCCCCTTCCCCTCTCCTATATCCATCTCCTGGTCTCCTTCCCTTTTGCAAATGGCATCTTTTCCAATATGTTTAGCATTGCATGCACAGACAGATTTCTTAGAACCATGGATGACTCAATTTCTGTTACTTAGATTTCTCACCATACCTTCGTTTATTTTGCAGTAGTCTCCAGCAGCTGTCTTCCTTCTGCACAGAAACAATGCATACTGAGAGTGTTAATTAGATCCCAAACTGACCGGTAGGCTCCAAGAGCCAAATCACAGGGAACTTTTAGCTGAAGTCAGAGTTTTCGCTTTTTAATTTTCAGAATTCTAGTGCAAAGAAAAGTCAGATAAAAAGGAAAGTCTACTTACAGAGTCCATTATAGTTTTGAGAGGAATTTGTGTCTTATTTACTTGGTGGGCATGACACATTCTAGATCTTTTTTTTTTTTTTTTTTTTTTTTTTTTTTTGGACAGGGTCTCACTATGCAGCTCAGGCTGGCCTTGAACTCACGTTGTAGTCCAGGCTGGTCTCAACCCTCAGCAGTCCTCCTCTCAGCCTCCCAAGTACAGGGATTATAGACGTGTGCCACCACATCTGACTACAGGATCCTCTATTTATAAGAATATAAACGTGCACTAAAAAGAATATAAATGATGCCACTGCCTTTTGACAAAACCACATTATTTATATGTGGAATTTTTTAAAGTCTATGTGGGAAAAGAACATCATTCAAGACTAGAAGGCTCTGTCTTGCTATAGGCTTCAGGAGTGTTTCGTGAATGACCTCAGCCCTGTTTTTTTCCTTCCTCCTCTGGTGATTGAAGACAGACAATGAACCATCTCTACTCACCCTGGCTTGGCAGGGTGGTGGTGATTAGGCCATTGTGCTCACTCTCGCTAGGGAGGGCTGCCCGTCTGTGTGGCTCCTGGCCTTCCCTGGCATTGCTAGTCTCTTTTCTCAGCTCCACCAGCCACTAAGAAAAAAGTCGCTGTTTAGTCCAGAGGGCTTGTGCCATACAAGTGGAGGCTCTTCTGGGGAGGTGAGAAATGAAAGATAAGATCAAGACCTCTACCGGGGCATCCACACTGCTGCAACCCTTAGCTGTCCTGCTGGAGAAGTGATAGTGTCTAGAAGTGTTGCTATAACCCCTAGAATTATTGTAATGTTGCCTTCTCAGAGACCCAGGCATTCCAGTTAGTTCCTTATACTCTCCATGTGCATAAAATAATCTGCACATGGGAGAGCAGAGGGGGGGAAATAAAAAGAATTCACATGTGCTAGGAACATGTACCAACTCCCCACGAGGAATATAATTATTATGCACTGCAAACAGGTACTAATAAAAATTAAAATCAAATAATAAAATGTGGGGCCAGAGCCATAGCTCAGTGGCATAAGTGCCTGCCTGGCAAGCGCAGGGTCTTGAGTTCAATCCCTGGTACCACAAGATGATGATGATGATGATGATGATGATGATGATGATGATGATGGTGATGATGATGATGATGAATGTGAAGAAACAAAGTTAATAGGTTCATTTGCAGAGTGGGTGTTGTTCTTCCGGTGGGAGCTGACAGGAACTGATTAACTGACTGCCCGGCAGGAAGAACATATATTCCTTCTGAAGCATAGTAACTCAGAACTCTGTTCTACATGGTGTCCTTGTGTTCCTAACTAGCAGTGCCAGCTGCGTTCCCATCAGAAATGAGAGTAGGCACAGCTCATGCATTCCAAACCCTGTCCACCTATACTGTTTCTCTGTTTTGTTTTGAAATCTTTAATTATCTATCTAGACCTTGGAGAAGTGGTGCAATTTCCTTGTTTTAGTCATGGAAACTTTTTTTAATGCCAGATATTAAGAACTGATTGCCAAGATTGCTAAATTTGTTTTCTTGTTTCTGCTGTCTTACTCTGAGCCTAATCATTTACAAAATGTGTGAGAATTGCACCATTCCTGCGCTGAAATTACAGGCAGAAAGTGAGGAATAGTTAGGGTGCTCAGTGTATCAGGGGCAGTATATACAACTTAGTAGTTAATGTGTAGCCATAAAACGGGTAGGTGAATGATAGATGATAACTTGTTTTTTGTACTTCCAGGGTAGACATTGCT